ACGTGATCGCCACCTGTGTGGAACACTGAAATAGTGTGGAAAAGCCAACCACCCTCGGGTGAGGGAATGTCCAGTTAAACGGCGGTCTAATGGGACCCCTGGGTGAATCATTCGGTTGAGCGTCCGATTTCGGCTCAGGTCACCATCTCACGATTCGTGGGTTCGAGCCCCGCGCCGGGCTCTATGCTGACAGCTGAGAGCCTGCTTCGGAAAGCAGAGCATGGGTGCAGGCACAGGGAGACGAAGATTGGGAAGTGAGATCTGAGCGCCGTTTAGGTAGACTTTCAAAATATCTGAAGCCAAAAATGGCAACATGTAATGACATGAAAGAATCATAATAATTGGAAGAGTTGTATCCAAAGGATAATGTTTCCAAGACGGCAAATATGAAGAGAATTTACAATGAACAGACCCTCGCCGAAATGTTACGAACCTTGTCGGGAAATTTACGTGACTGTGGACAGTAAAAAAAAGTGGTTACTGTCATTAATTGTCTGTTGTGTTACAAAACACAAGTAAAATACTAGATAAAATTTATATGGAGGAAGGGAGAACAGAAGTCAGAGAAAAATAAAAAGCAGAGTTATTTTTATTTATTTTTTATTTTAAGTAGGCTTCCCGGCCAGGGCCGAGCCCAGTGTGGGGCTTGAACTCATGACCCTGAGAACAAGACCTGAGCTGAGCTCAAGAGTTGGACGTTTAACTGGACGTTAATTTCAAATCTGATACAGAAAAAAAGGAGTCTTAGGCTATTTATGAGAGACATCTTGCCCCTACTAAAAAACTATCCTGCCAATTCCAAAGTAAAAGGACAGAATAGACTATACCAAGAGAAATGAAGCAGGGTAAACAGAGCAATAGCAGCCAAACAAACAGACAAACAAACAAAAAGAAACAACAGCAAAAAAAACCCTCCGTCATCAACAACAATAACCCAGAAAGGAGCAAAAGAATAGGAAACTGGTATAACAATAATGACATCAAATAAAACAGAAAGCAAACTAAAAACACGTGTAAGGCGTGTAGCATGCCAAAGGCTGGTAATGATCACTAATAGTATTTGTACCTGTGTCCCCCTAATTGGAATTCTATTACATATATTTTTATTATTTGTCTTACCCATTTACTGACATAATAGCATTTCATCATTCCTGAAAGTTCTTCATTACCATAGTGTCTACTATTTTCTACCATATGGATGGTCTATAATTTATTGATTGTTTTTGGATCCTCTTTTTATTTTTATTTTTTTTTAATATTTATTTACTTTGAGAGAGAGAGAGAGAGAGAGAGAGAGAGAGAGAGAGTGGGAGGGAGGGACAGACAGAGGAGAGACAGAATCCCAAGCAGGCTCCACATTGTCAGCACAGAGCTCGACACGGGGCTCTATCCCACGAACCGTAAGATCATGACCCGAGCTGAAATCAAGAGTTGGACTCTTAACTGACTGCACCCCTGAGATGCCCCTGGATCCTTTTTTTCAAGATCTTTCGTAATTTTTTTTTTTTTTTTGGTGGCATACATAACATCGTAATGAACATCCTCTTGTGTCAATCTGTATGTAGTTTTCTGCATGGTTTCACATTTGCCCTTAACAAAGACCACAAGGAGCTAAATACAGGAGGGTGGAAAATTATTTATATTTTGGCATCTCCAGTATGATGAACGGTGCGAAAGGGTTGGACGTGTTTAGATACAGGGTCAAGCTTGGTTTAACAAAATGTTGCCCTCAACTGGTGGTAATGCCCCAGAAGGAACAAGAAAAATCATGTCGGCCCTTTCCCCCAACAACTGGCTGGGTAGTTGCTTTGGTCAAGGTGTCTGTGGATCCAGAGATGGAAAGACAAGCCCAGTCCTCATGGAGCCCAAACACGTCTAAGAAGATAACATGTCAACAGACACGAAGAACAACATGACAATGTCATGGCATTTCAAGCCTCTGTTTATCTCTTACTTGATACGTATAGAGCATTAAATATTGGAAGTACTCAACATATGTGTGCATTCTCTAGAATGTCTCCAGGGGTGCCTGGGTGGCTAAGTTGATAGAGCGTCCGACTTTGGCTCATGCCATGATCTCAACAGTGCATAGGGCATCGAGTGCCGCATGACCCTAAGATGGCCTGAGGCTTACAGAGTTCACCCTGGGCCTGTGTGGCCAGCCCTGTGTAATGGATCCTCCAGTGATGCGACCTTGCAGCTGAACTTTATGGATGTCCTCGTGCCCTTCCCCTTCCTGAGAATAGCGACTGTCCACCAATAACATGCAGAGACATCCCATGACACCTTTGGCATTTTGCTAATGAGATCGTTCCAGGAAAGGCTAGGATCAAACCAGAATTTGAAGCAAAGATACAGACTTTTATCACCATGATGAATTTTTTTTTTTTTTATGTTTCTTCATTTTTGAGAGAGAGAGAGCACAAGGAGGGGAGGGCCAGAGAGAGGGGGCCAGGGGATCCGAAATGGGCTCCATGCTGACAGCCAAGAGCCGGAGGCGGGGCTCAAACCCACAAACCGTGAGATCATGATCTGAGCTGAAGTCGGATGCTTAACCAACTGAGCCACCCAGGCGCCCCTCACCACAATGAATTTTTACACCGAATGCGTCGACTGAAAACAAGACAGGTGACAGAAAAAGCAAGCTGTGCCAACAATGGCTCCACTATAAAACACCCCTAACATGTGGTCCATGCTCTTGTAGACCTGCCTTCCAGACACGTGGGCAGCTCCTGCCACATGTTGGAAGAGACGTTTACACACAACGAGAAGTGAATTAACTGTAACCCTAATACCATCACTCCGAGTCGATCACTCACTGGTGCAGCGATTCAAATTGGCGAGCAGATGTTAGGGAAGCTCAAGAAAATAGTAATATCCCGATAATCGGCCAACTAAAACCGAGTCAATGACCGCCCAAGTGTTTGTGGGCATTGACTCTCGTTGGCCCAAAAGGAAAGGCACATGTCGGACACCTACTGGGATACCAGATTGGTCAGGTGAATTTAGGTGTTACAGAATTCTGCAAATCAGTCTAGCTCGGTACCTGAAGACCAGCACATAGTCTCTACTGGGGGTGAAGCGATTAGCCTGCCAGGAATCGAGAGCTGCGCTGCTCTGAAGGAGGCTCAACAAATCTCCCCAAATGTGTGTGGGGAGGGGGGACATGATATACACAAAGGGGAATTCTGAAAAGTCCTTTATGGCAGATGACTGAGAACCGAAAAGTCTCCCTTGGGACCAATGGTTCTTACCCTGTGTTGTCACTGGGGCATCCATTACAAGGGACTGGTTCTCGTAAGGTCCACGCTGAAGTGTGTAACATTCCGGCCGCCTTAGGTTTATGCGACACTCAATCCTCGATGCACAGCACAGGGACCGAGCAGAGATTTCTTTTAGCACCCACAGGCAACGGGGAGCTACTGAGGCTTCTTGGGGAGGGCAGCAAAGGATCAGAATAGAAATATGACTAACTCGATGGCCCACTGTTGCCCAATACGTGCCTTTTATTCGCCATAAAGGTGATACTGATGTCAGTTTCCGGAATGACTTAAGTTGGCTTGACCCAATTTCCATCCCTTGGTCATGTTTTTTTGTTTTTGTTTTTGTTTTTGTTTTTGTTTTTTTTCATTTTATTTATTTTGGAGAAAGAGAGAGAGCGCGTGTGAGCAGGGAGGGGGCCGCTCAGCCAACGGAGCCAGCCAGTCTCTCCTCCCTTGGTTATGTTTTTGAGAACTGATTATTTGTGGATCTGGGACTGCGTTTGAAAATGGATTCTGTTCCAGGACTTCTAATTTGGAAAGCAGAAGAATCTAGTACACTCCTAGAGTGCATCAATTTTTCTTCCTTGTGAGGGGGAGGGTAAGCTGGTGGACAGACTCCTCTGGGCAGGGACCCTCTACGCGGGGGCAGGTTTCAGAGGAAATAGGGGACACGTGGACCAGGAGGGCTGAGGCAGGCCTGAGGCTCCAGAGCGTGAGTACAAACACGCTGGAGAGAGGCCGGCCAAAGTGCAAGGTCATTCTAGGCGAGCAGGTGCGGGGCTGGGTGTCCGAGGCTAGGGGCCCCAGAGGGCTCCAGCTTCACGGAAGGGGCCTGGGGCAGGGCCGAATCGTGATTTACGTACAGAGTTTTCTTTAGACCGAACACTTCTTCAAAGAAACCTTTTTTGTTTTTACACATCCAACTCACCTCCCCAAGCATCTGACACGTTGACTCACACGCTTGGATCCTCGGCGAGGATCGGTTACATTTTATTAAAAAGCCCCTTTCTTCCACAGTCAGACACCAAAGGAGATGCGAGGTCAAGGCCGTATCGGCCGTGCCAAAATCTGTAGTTAACGCCTGCCCCCGTCCCCGTCACCCACGCCTCAACCCCTGGCCTCCCGGGACGTGCCAGGTCCTTACGGGCCGGCTCTCCTCCTCCACTCGGCCTCCTCTGGGGATGTCTGTTCCCTGAAGGGCCTGCTTCCTTTCAGAGGAGCCGTGTCCCCGCTCCCAGCTGCGGATCTAAACCACAGCAGAACACGGATTTGTAAACACATCTCGGCCCAGCCAAACAAGGGCTTTCCATCAGAGATGAAGATGGCAACGTGGCTTTTCCACATCTGCCCTGGCTTGGGGCCAGCTCTGCTCCCGCGGGCACGGAAGGGCCTGGCTGGAGCCGGGTCCTGAAGGGATGCGCTTGTGTGCGAGGGCACTCAAGGGAGGGGCCTTGCCCCCCAACCCCCCGACCCCCCAGCCCCCCACCCTAGGGCCGCTGCCTCCGAGGCGCTTTCCTGATCAGAAACTTCAAAGTCACGCATCCTTTGTGATTGCACAGCACCCACAGTGATTTGGGGCAAATCACTATTTTATATTTATATTTATATTTATATTTATATTTATATTTATAATTTATTGTCAAATTGGTTTCCATACAACGCCCAGTGCTCATCCCAACAGATGCCCTCCTCAATACCCATCACCCACCCTCCCCTCCCTTCCACTCCCCATCCACCCTCAGTTTGTTCTCAGTATATCGATTTGACCACTTTTATTGAGGTATAATTTACATGCAAGAATATATGCCCATTTTAAGTATATGGGGGGGTGCGTTTTGACAAATGTATGTGTGTGTGTTCCTACCGCCAGAATCAAGAGAGAGAACACGTCCGTGACCTCGAGTGGCTCCTCGTGTCCCTTTGCAAACTACCCTCGCCCCAGCTCCCTGAGCAAGTGCCATGTCTGCCTTTTCCAGAACTTTCCGCAAATGACATTCTACAGTGCGTACTCTCGTATGTCTAGCTTCTTTAGTCCAGCTTTATTCACCTCTGTTCTTTTTTTTTTAATTTTTTAAATATTTTATTTTTTTTTGAGAGAGAGAGTGTGTGTGAGCAGGAGAGGGACAGAGAGAGAGGGAGACACAGAATCCGAATCAGGTTCCAGGCTCTGAGCTGTCAGCACAGAGCCCGACACGGGGCTAGAACCCACGAACTGTGAGATCATGACCTGAGTCAAGATCAAGAGTGAGATCTTGACCTGAGTCAAGATCAAGAGTCAATGCTTTGGGGTGCCCGGGGTGGCTCAGAAGATTGAACGTCCAACTTCAGCTCAGGTCATGAGCTCGTGGTTCGTGGGTTCAAGCTATGCCCACAGCTCAGAGCCTGGCGTCTGCTTCAGATTCTGTGTCTCCCTCTCTCTCTACCCCTCCCCTGCTCACACTCTGTGTCTTTCTCTCTCAAAAATAAACATTAAAAAAAAGTTAAAAAAAAAAGTTGACGCTTAACCAACTGAGCCACCCAGGCACCCTGATTCGTCTCTGTTCCTGCTTATAATGGTAGATGGTTTTTTTTTTTTAATCCTAAGTAGTTTTTCACGACATGGATATATCACAATATTTACCTGCTGATGGTCATTGTATCATTTCTAGTTTGGAGCTGTTATTGAATAAAGCTGCTATGAACATTTATGGTCAAGTTTAGGGTGCACATTTTCATGATCCGTGGGTAAATACCTAATTGGAATTGTTGGGTCATATGCTAAGTGTATGTTTAACTGTATAAGAATTGATACCTGGGGTGCCTGGATGGCTCATTGGGTTGAGCATCTGACTTCAACTCAAGTCATGATCTCACGGTTCCTGGGTTCGAGCCCCGCGTCAGGCTCTGTGCTGACAGCTCAGAGTCTGGAACCTGCTTCGGATTCTGCGTCTCCCTCTTTCTCTGCCCCTCCCCTGTTTGTGTGCTCTCTCTCTCTCTCTCTCTCCCTCAAAAATAAATAAACTTTTTTTAATCTTAACAAAATGAATTGATATCTGCTCGCAAAGTGGTGGCAGCATTTCGCATCCCCACCAGCCATGTGTGAACATTCCAGTCTCTCCATATAATCATCAACAGTTGGTACTGTCCGTCTTTAGTTTCCTTTTAGCCAGTGTCTTTGTGGGTTTATGTTGTATTTCCCTGGTGCCTAATAATGTTGAGCACTTTTTTGTGTTCGTATTGACCATTCATATAGTTCTCTTCTGTGAAGCGTCTGTCTAAATCTTTGAGAAAAGTCACTTTTACAAAGCCCTGGGGATCATGGGAAGACCCTGGATCAGGAGCCAGAGGTCTAGGGCTTGAAACTTTGCCCTGTAAATAGCTGTTGGGGGTGGGGCGGGGGGGGGTCTGGATGGCTCCGTCGGTTAAGTGTCCGACTCTTGATTTTGACTCAGGCCATGATCTCACGGATCATGGGATAGAGCCCCACATTGGGCTTTGTGCTGACAGCATGGACCTTCCTCCGGATTCTCTCTCTCTCTCTCTGCCCCTCCCTTGCTCGTGCTTACTAACATGCACTCTTTCTCTCAAAAAATAAATAAACATTTAAAAATGAATAGATAGATAAATAGATAGATAGGTAGGTAGATAATCGCTGTGGGACTTCAAGATTCTGGGTCTTCCATTCACAATAGGCCAAAACAACTAGATTATCTTTAAAGTTCTTTTTTCTGCTCCAGAGACTACGGCTACGATCTCCATTTCTTCATTCAAAGGCAGGCACAACCCTGGGGCTCAAAGGAACACAGAGTCACAGAATGTGAAAATGGTAAGGGACATCGGAGATCCTCCGGCCCCTGCCTCTATTCAGATACCAGGACTGTCACACGGCCGACCTCACACAACCACACAATGGCATTGCTACAACTAATCCCGGGTCTCCTGGCTCTAGTAACTATTAATGGAAGAGTTTGAGAAATAGGCAAACCTTCTTTCTCTCACGTCAGAGAAGATCCCTGGGAGTGAGAACCGGGTAACGGGCCTTTGTTTGTCTTGGACCATTTCCATTTGCGCCCTTGTGGCATTCTTGCGAGCAGTAGAGGGAGGTTAATATGAAGGATCTGGAGGGGTCCTCAGTCCAGGTCAGTCTCTGGAAGCTTCTGCACCCAGGTTTTACAGGTGCGCTCCCATTAAAACACAAACCCAGCGCCCTCAGCCCAGGCAGCCTGTTTACAGAGCTGTGACTGCTATAACCATGGCCACGCAAATTACATTTACACTCTGGTCTATAGATCGAGTTCTGTAAACCGGCGAGTACTTTAGGGGTCAGGGTAGAGTCCTCTGTAATTACAGCACGCCATTCCCAGGGGTGTTAATGTTTATAGGAGGCTAGTTAACCTCGCACAGGATCTGGGGTCCCAGGGCTGTGTGCGCCATTCGGCTGCAGAGCTGAAGAATGCATTTCCATTCCAGCAAGTTCCACTGGCACACTATGGCAGAATGGACAATCACGGCTTGTTCTCGGGGCCCCGGCAAGGCCCCGGCTTGCATGGCCTCCAGTCCCTTGATTGCTCGACCAAGGCCTGGAGCTTGACTTTCCCTAAACAACCCCAACTTAATGGACTGTGATGATTGGTCTTGCACTGTAACTCTGTTCTGTTACTTGAGCAAACCATGTAGTTACACATCCGTCTGTAACTTTCCAAGACCCCCAGGAAAGAAGGGGCCATTGTAAACCTTTGAAACAGAACCCAGACATGCTGAGCGCCTTGGAAATTGTTTCAAGCAACAAGGAACTGCTTTTCATCATGCACTCAAGGGGCTCCGAGAGCGGCAGGACGCGGTGCTTTTTGTTCCAAGAGTTTACAATCCGTAGTTTTTTTGGTGGACAAGGCAGGCACACACGAAAAAAAGTCAATAAAATACAAGAGGGTACGTGCTCAATCTCGGCTGGCGTGTGTGGATGTCGGGCCACGAGAGGTTCAGAAGTGGGCAAGATTGCTCTACCCTGGCTCCACGGAGGAAACCTTCGGGAACGAGGCGGGAGCAGGAATGGCCCCTGATGAACACTATGGTTTGGGTGGAGAGTGTGGATCAAGGCGTGGAAGTGCATGGGGCATTCCGGTGGGAGAGCAGATACCGACCCGACTGCCGCAGCGCTGCAGAGCAGTGCGGTGAAGCCAGAGATGGGACGCGTGGGTCGTGCCAAGCTGGAGAAGTTCTGTGAAAGCCGACCGACGCCAGGCACGGAAGAGAAAGGAACGTTTAGGTCACCAGGTGGTGTTGGTTTGTTCAATACGCCCCAATGTCTCAACTCACTCACCGTGAAAACCGAAGTCCTGGGGTGCCTGGGTAGCACAGTTAAGTGTCAGCTTACGGCATGATCTTGCGGTCCGTGGGTTCAAGCCCTGCATCGGGCTCCGTGCTGACGGCTCGGAGCCTGGAGCCTGCTTCAGATTCTGTGTCTCCCTCTCTCTCTCTCCCTGCCCTTCCCCTGCTCATGCTCTTTCTCTCTCTCAAAATAATAAACATTAAAAAAAAAAAAGACCTAATGATTCCCCCCCCCCCCCCCCATTTTTTCTGCTCATTCAGCTCCAGCCACACCAGCGTTCTTATTCCTGCGACCCCGGAGGCAATTTCCCACCATGGCACTTTCACATTTTCTGTTCCCTCTGCCAGAAATGCCCTTCCCACCATGGTTCTTGATCTCGCCTCTCTGTCTTTGACCCCTGTCGGTGACCCTTCCCTAATAACTCCGGTTACAGTGGCAACAGCCCCTCACCTTTGGCTCTCTCTGTCACCTTTCTCGGGGTCGTTTTCCAGAAGTCATTTCATCATCAAACACCTTGTATCTAGTTTTACTTCATTTATTGTCTCTCTTCCCGAATTAGAGTGTAAACTCATGAGAGTTAGAATGTAAACTCACAGCATTTTGTCTGTTTTGTTCATCTGATACATCCCCAGCACCTAATACGATGCCCAGATGCTCCGTAAGTATTTGCCCGGCGAACAAATGAGTGACTTTTTTTCTTAACATTTATTTATTTATTTTGAGAGAGAGAGAGAGAGAGAGAGAGAGCATGAGCTGGAGGGGGTAGGTGCAGAGAGAGAATCCCAAGCAGGTGCCACGCTGTCCGTGCAGAGCCCGATGCAGGGCTTGAACCCATAAACCACAAGATCGTGACCTGAGCCGAAAGCAAGAGGCAGATGCTTAACTGACTGAGCCATCCAGGCGCTCCAAGTAAGTGACATTTAAAAGCACTGATCGGATAAAGGAGGCATCGTGGATTCACCAGGACACATGCATGGTGCATGACAGAGGCGAGGAAGAGATCTGATGTCAGGGGCTGCCATTATAAGACAGGTTAGGGCAGGGATTCATTAGCTCTCCTTTGTTGCGAGCAGTGGAAATTAAATCTGGCTTGGGCTAAAGGCAATTTGTTTAAAAGGGACAGGAGCTCCCAGAATTGAGGAGAGGCCAGAAGGCCAGGTCAGGCCGTAGAGAAGAAGAAGGCAGCCGTGGAGGCCAGGGCTCAGGGGCCATGACAACTACGGGGACGGCGTGGTCAGGAGGCTGCTGACTGTTTCCGGTCTGCTGACTCCTCTCCCCCAGAATTCAATGCCATTGAAAGAGCATCCAATTGACCTAGCCTGAGTCAAATGCCTGCCCTCGCCCCTCATCGTGAGGATATATTGCGTGTTGGGGGCCCAGCATCGTCTCTTCCTAATGCCATCACCGGTCTCTTTCTGAGTCATTTCTGCCTCCCCTAGATACCGTTTGGTGGGATCATGACGGAGAACGTCCCTCTCCTCCGCTGAACATTGGAGCCTGCTTTTCTTTTTTATGTTTTCACCCAGAAGGTGTGAAACGTGGGGGACTGGACAAAGGTATTTCACTAAAGTGATCTTTGAAGAGTTTGACATGATGAGACTAACTTTGAGCTTCCTAAGACACTCCTGTGGATAAAATGCTCCTGTGCATGTGGTCTCATTGGAACCATATTTCTGTGAAGTAGGTAGGTAGGTGTTACTAGCTTCATTTTACACATGTGCGAACTGAAGCCTTGGAGATTGTAAGCAATTTATTCAAGTTCACGATGCCAAGACCATTTTAACGTTAAATTCTGTTATAATGATGGTCCACAGTGACGAACACTGGTTATATATTAAGCACTCTTATGCACATTACCTGCCTTAACAAAATTAATGCACACAACAACCCCTTGAAGTAAGCACTAATAGTCTAGTGAGTAGAGAAGGGGACGGAAGTAGGTTCATATCACTTGCCCAAGGTGACGTATTTACAAAGTGCTGGGGCCAGGCTCCTGTCCCTGAATCTGTGCTCTGAATGCTAAGGCATATTGCCTCTCAGGTTTTATTGAACAAATGTCAATGGATATATGTGACATTGACAATATTTACGTTCAGCCAGCCTTCCAGGAAAACGCCTGTGTCTGTGGCTCAAATCGTAGATTCCAAGGATGCACTGTCCCTGTCCCATAGTGATCATTCAGTAAACATTAAGTTGAATGAATGAATGAATGAATGCATGAATGAATGAATGAATGACTACCCTCACAGACTCTCGGCAGCAAGAGGCTTTGCCTTCCAAATAATATTGCGGAATCCAGGAGCGAAGATGGAGATTTCATGACAGTACGCATGGGCATATTTGACTTTCTACTTTGTGCCCGTATGCCGGGCACTAAAAAGGGAGACAGCTCCTCTCCGTGGCTTCCCCTCATGATGCTGAGTCCTGAGACACAACATGCTTAGGAAAGGAGCTAAGGGTATCTTTCTTCTCTGATATTCTGCATCTGGTCTTGGTCATTTTCATCAAGTACGGAGAAGTCTTCTGATTTGGAAAATAATCTCTGAGCACCTCCTACCCCCATGGATATGCCAGCCATGTCGACTTTGGAAGCCCACCCTGGTGACCTTCCCCATCTGTGGGTGCCCTTGGCCTACGAATATCGAAGTCAGGAAGAAACAACTTGACTTCCGTGTTTTTAAGCAGTTCGGTTTTTATCCTTTTTTGCATCATGTTAAATCTTATAGTTCAATGGTGCGAAGGGACAGTGCCATTGAATTATAAGAGGGCTGAAGCATTAAGACAGTCGAGGTGGGATACAAGCGTATTCACATGGAATGTTTGCTGGCTGTGTGTGCCAGGCACGATACTGGACTTCGAGAATGCAGAGGTGGGCGAGACGTGATCCTTATCTCTTGGGCTCGCTGCTGGTCCGTAGCTTTTTGGGGGAAATGCCAACAAAGTGAACTTGACTTAGAGTCACCTGATCTGGATGTCAGAACCTCAATGAGGAAGCTACAGTGGCTGCATCCATGAGAAGCTGAGGGTCTGGCAGAGTGGTACCCATGGGAATGAGAAGTAAGGACAACATAAAAGATGCTAAACAAAAACCATGGGTTCTCCATCACCACAAATCCTTTCACGCGTACCTATATCATGTAGCACTATGCAAAAACCTGCACAGAGAGCACAGGCACAGGGACGGCTGAGTGCCTCAGTTGTTTAAGCACCTGGATCTTGATTTCAGCTCAGGTCATGATGTCACGGTTCATGAGTTCGATCCCCACATCAGGCTCTGCGTTGACAGCACGGAACCAGCTTGGGATTCTCCTTCTCTTCCTCTCTCTCTACCCCTCCCCTCCCTTTTCTCTCAGAAAAAAATAAATAAATAACGGCACAGACCTGACTGGTGCAGAATAGGCAAATAATCATTCAGATGACTACACTCCCTTAAAGGGCTACAAATGCACTAAATCACCCATGAGTGGACAATATTACCAGCTGTAGCTGTAAGAAGTTGTACTTCCAATAGTAGTTATATTTCAAAGACTAGAACTGCTGATAACTGGATTTATCGAGAAGGGAAGTTAAAATGCGAGAGACTGCCAGCCCTATTCCGTCCTAATAATTCTCACGAGGCTCCAAGAACGGGTATTTCGGCAGCTCCTTGAAAGACAGAATCGAGTCATTTAGCTCAACTCAGATTAAGTACCAAACATCACGGTAAAAAAAATGCAAATCCATATCTTCAGTGTGGTTTACAGCTCAGATTGACCCTCCTTCACTCACGCTTGGAGAGAAACCAGCTTAGGCAGATATTTTCTTTATGCTGGCTGAATGGGACGAAGAACTGAGAAACACCAAGGAAACGATGTCAGAGAGATGGGCCCTGACCTGGGAGAGATCAAGGGACACTAACTCGAATTCAAGATTTTCATGAATTTATTTTAGATCCGCTTTCCATGAGGAAAACCGTTGGCTGCAAACCCGAGTCGCTGAGATTTTCAGATGCAAATGCATAGTTTGAGCCGGAGAGATACCCGGCATGATCAAGTGGGTGTGGAGAATGACCATCAATGGGAACCAAGATTTGGGTCCTAACGTCCAAGACAGTTTTACTCCAAGGATGGCACTGGGTTTATTCCTGGAAAAACGCGCGAATTAAATTTCGACAAAGAACCCCCAATAATATTCCAGATTTTATGAGTAGACCCTTCCATTCTTCACCCCTGCAGTTCGACACCTCTGTGGGCTCTCCAAACATCAACAAAAACTCCAAGGATTTGATGGAAAATGGTGTTAAGTCTCATGTTGTTTCAGGAATTTCCCAATATGCACTAAATTAACTTTGGGGCCATATGAGGCTGAGTGGTAGGAAATCGCTCCATTGGACACAGATGACAGACCTAATGTTCCCAACAGCTGTTGCGCACACATGAAATCAGATTGGGATTAACACTTACCTTCCCCGTGGTCACACCCGGATGGGATGGCTTCTCTGTAATGTACACCAAGCTTAGCTTATGTCTCCGAAACCACATGACCTCACAGGCCTCGGGAACATTTGATCCAGGAAATCTGAACCTGGGCGGGAATCATAAAGCATCAGGTACATGTTAAGCAGGAATTTATCTGCTTTGTGTCTGAAGTGGCCTCACATCCAGCCTTTGTCTGCCTCGAAGTGAAATATTTATAGGCAGGCTGCTTTCTAAGGCAGAGTTACAGATCTATGCAGGTTTGGTGTGAAATGTCTCTGCCCGTTGACCACCTGCTGAAACCCAAATTCCAAGTGCAACCAGACCTAAGCTCTTTTGTATCACCGCGAGTTTTAACACTGATACCAGGATGGTAACCCAAGTAGAATTTACAATGAAGTCCAGTTGGCCCGGCAGTGTAACCGCTTGTTGGCAAATATAGTAAAACTTACCAAGTTTGTGCTCAAGTTCAGACCCCCAAAGACTTCTTTTGTCTTGCCTTGGGAAGAAGGGTAATTCTTGTAGTGAGGTTGCAATTGTACGACTTCTCCTTGACGTTGGAACTGTGGCTCAGTCATTAGAGTACACTCACGGGGCACCTGGACGGCTCAGTCGGGGAACATCCCACTTCGACTCAGACCATGATCTCCCGGTTTGTGGGTTCGAGCCCCGCGTCGGGCTCCGTGCTGACCGCTCAGAGCCTGGAGCCTGCTGCGGATTCTGTATCTTCCTCTCTCTCTCCCCCTCCCCTGCTCATGCTCTGTCTCTGCCTCTCAAAAATAAATAAATGTTAAAAAAACAATTTTTTAATACACTTACAACAGCGTCCTTGGAGGGTAGATTTGATTTTTAGAAATGGCCCAGGGTCATTCAGAGCTAAATCTGATGATTTAGGAAGGGGATCAAGTTGAGTGATATCCATGTATGTCAAAATGAGGTGTGACTTTTAATTAGTAGGGTGGGTTTTGTGGTATGGCTTATACATATGGTCTTAAGGCAATTCCAAAACCTTTCTTTTCAATAATGCCTCTATTGTAGCAATTTGAATGTTTAAATTCTGCAATGTTTACTCAAAAAAATGTTTTATTAACCTCCTATTACAGTTTGTATGTGGCCCAAATGAGGGCAAACATATGGAGAGCTATCAGAAACCCTTCCCTTTGGGGTTCATCACAAGGAACTGAGCAATTCAGCAGTCCTGACACCTAACTCTGAGGGTCTTCACTTTCAAAATTATTAGTTGGGGTCCCACGTCTCCTTACCTTTCTGTCTTAGAAAAGATCTACTAAACAGCTTTAAATTGCCTGTCATCCCACATGTATGGGTCATGCTTTGTAACAAAGGCCAGAAGCCCAGTAGCTGAAACCCAGCTGAAGTTTATTTCTCTCTGATCCCACTCAAGGTTAAGCAGTTCAAGGCTGATATGGCAGCTGCAGAATTTTGGAGATTGTTCTGGAAACCACATATGGCTTCCATCTTGTCATCCAAGATGGCTGCCCCAGAGCCAGCCAACACGCCCACGTGCCAGCCAATGGGTAAAGAGGTAAGAGAGAGATCACCTTTCTTTTAAGGATACAGACTGGAAGCTCTGTGCACTACTTTATCGCTCTTGTTTAGATGCTCCTAGCCAGACTTAAGTCAAAAACAAGCCTGGAAAAAAGAGATTGACTCCCGACCACGGACCCAGTTAAAACTTGTGATTTTGTTCTCAGAGTGAAAAAGAAAGAACGGATATCGGGTAAAACAGTCTCTGACACACGAAGTATAGCAGAGGTTTCTTTTCTTTTTTTTTAATATTTATGTATTTTCGAGAGAGGGTGGGGGAGAAGCAGAGAGAGAGGGAGACACAGAATCCGAGGCAGGCTCCAGGCTCCGAGCTGTCAGCACAGAGCCCGATGTGGGGCTTGAACCCACGAGCCATGAGATCATGATCTGAGCCGAAGTCTGACGCTTAACCGATGGAGCCACCCAGGTGCCCTGGAGGCAGAGTCTTCTTTAATGTGACCGATGGTTTTAGCTGTGCCTTGAGGAATTAGGGGAGGGAGAAACATCCAATGGGGAATGAGCAACGCAGCCAAGGACTGGTCGTTAACCGACAAGAGCAGATAGTGGGGGGCATCTGGCCAAGGTGGGAAGGGAGAGAGACGGGCAGGACGGATTTGCAAGATGGCTACTTTGCTCAGGAATTCCCCAAACCAGTTACACTGAACCTGATGCTGTCTGTCCAGATGGGCACAGTCTATTGGCATGTAGCTGTTAAAGGAAAATCAATTCCAGAAAACTAGAGCTCATTCTGACATGCCTGCTTTTTAACAAATGGTAACAGACCAGAAAGCGATCATGGTTAAGGGAGAGAATAATTTAAGAGCATGTGGGATTACTAGGAAATAAGTTGGAAGCAATCACCAAACTCCCCGTAGAACTTCCTTGGCAAGGGCTTGAGAGCTAGCACTCTAATTACTCCGCAAAGTGGAAAGAGCATTTAATAAACTTAAGATCAAGAAATTCCACGGCATCTGGCCCCGTCACCACATTATGTGGATTGATGTCTTGACTCAGGAAATACCACTTGGCTGTCAGGCAGGATTTTTCTCCTCTGGCACCAGTCCCTTAATACTTCTGAGAATATCCCTCTCATCACTGAGATTCTCCAAGTAGTTGTGCACGGAAGCCCAGAACAGTGGGCTGACGATTGTTCTCAATGTGTATGTGTTCATCACCAGCGCTGCATGTGGCTTAGAGTACCCCTTACACAAGAAATGGAAGTCACGAGAGACGGTTCTCGATTATTCGCCTCAGCAAACATCAACTATCAACTCCAACCTCAAGTCAAAGTTGGTACAGAGATACACAAAGACATTCGCTCACTTTCGGCTACTACTGAAAAGTCCAGCTGATGGGAAGATTTTCCGGAGGGCTGTGACTAAAACCTCAATTTCGCAGAAAGCCAACTGGTAGTCAAATCGTGGCAGGGCGTCGAAATAATCCATGATATTCCAAGTCCTGTTTAAGGGGAAACTTTGGAGGAGAGAAAGGAGGAGGAGAAGGACAAAGAAGATGCTTTTAACAAAGAAAGAAGTTTTGAGTAAACCAGTAATAGAAGAAAACATCGTAATCTAATAAAGGGTAACCATCAGCGAACTACATAACAATCTAATTAAGCTTCCACTGAGATCAGATTAAGAGTAAATGAAAATTAGGTCGTCACTTCCCACCGCCACTCAAGACTGAGCTTAGTGCATGGTCACATCGATGCGTTAAGAGAAGGAAGAGCAGAGATCTAAATATTGAGGAAGAGGGGGAAAAAACACTTTCAATATTTTCAGACGAATATTGTTTGTTTTGCAAATTTAGAAGGATCTGCCAAAAGCTATTAAACCCATAAAAGAGTAGGGCAGAACAGATGGGTATGATATCAACAGACAACATTTTTTTAATATGTCAACTTGCGAGAAGACATTTTAGGAAAAAAACATTTTCGTTTACCATAACTATAGGAAACATAAAACCCCTAAAAGTTAATACATAAGACCCATATGCATAAAACTGTTAGAAAGCCCCCACGGATGTGAAAGGACTAAATGAATGGAAAGATACATCATTTGTTGGACAAGACAGTTTTATGTGGTGGAAGATTCGAGTTCTGCCCCCAATTAATATACAAATTCAAATAACTCTTATCTACATCGCTGCGGAACTTTATGGGCTGTAACAAGCTAATTCGAAAGCTCACGAGGAAAAGAAAACCTGCAAAAATAGCCAAGGACAAGTTTGCCGAAACAGAACGATGTAGGAGACAGAGCATATGCCATATTAGCTTCGTAGAATGCGGATTTGCTGGTTTGCTTGACTTGCTTAGATCTCGTTTGCATCCTTTAGAAAGAGAATGGATTCATGTATCCCTTTTAACGTGTACTGCCACTTATCTTCCCCCAACACTTGTCTGGAATTATTTGATGCCGATAGTCATTTGATGGCCCATCTTAACTTCTGAGCTGTGCTTTACAGGCGATGCGTTACTAAGGATTTGGGTGGGGGGGGGGGGAGAAAAAAAAAGAGAGAGCACCAGATCACAAGGGACATGAGCAAAAGGCAGAATGAATGAAGGAACTTTTAAGGAAGCCAGTGAGGGTGCGATTTTTCTACAATCCATTACCTGCACTGAAATCCAAAGGCAAAGTCGTCCTGGAGTTCAACGTCATGGTCTATCTTACCACCGCTATGCCTGATGGCCGTTGGTTGCACGGCGATGACGGGGTGGAGGTCATACCTTTATAAAACCTGCATGCTTCTGGCCAAAAATCTTGTCGCATTCCCCTGCCTCGTGACCCCAGATGCCAGCAGGTGCCGGGTGTTTGGATGACTTTCGCGAAGCAGGCTAAGCCCTTCCGTTTTATTTGAAACAGATGCACAGAAGGGGCCTAAGAGGAAAACAGATTTCTTGGTGTATGAAAAGATTACCTTTTGTATACACAGTCACAAGAAACTAAGTATAAGTAAGCAATAAATGGAAGTGATCTGCGTTCCCAAGGCATTCTGTTCAGACCTCTATTATCACACTTGTCCACAATTATTTTAATTATTTGTTTGCGTGGACCAGCCTAGCCCTGGCCAAATCATAGACGCTCCACAAACATTTGTTGGAGAAATGAAACAGACAACAGAACTATTATCTCATCACTACGCGTGTCCTTATTTTCAGTCTATTCTTTGAAGATGGATTTTCTGTTTAAAATCATCTGTGGGTGGTCAAGAGCCCTCAAACACCGACTCGGGGATGCCTTGTCCAAGCCACCCTTCCGCAACTTGACAAATTCCGGAAAGTTCCGTGACTCTGGGCCACTGTGTTTTTTTCAGCCTACACAGGGATTTCTTCACCCAGGGGCACACGGCATCCTGCGTTCGGGGACAATCCTCGAAGGTGAGCACCCACTCCCCTAATGGGGAGGTCGTTTTGCTCAGCGCTCTCTTTCGGTCCCTGGTCAAAAGATGCATGGTGACGTGTGGAGTTCTTGTTAAGCTAGCTACAGTTTCATGTCCCCTAACTAGGCTACAGGTATCTCAGGACTGTTGAGGTTAACCTGCGGCCCCCAGGGGTCCTTACTCTGAAACCGTGGTCTTTGTCTCCCGGGTTTATTCACACGGATTTCTCCCTCAGCGGCTTCATTGGCGGCCCTGGTTAACCACCCTTGCCCTCCTCCTGGATACCCATAGGGCTTCCTTCAGCTAACATTCCACGCACAGATTTCTTTAGAAGCAAACTTCAGCTTTCCAGGTTAAAATTGTTTCCAGTTTCCCATTAAAATACTTTCCAAAGGAGGAGAAAGGCAAGAAACTCGCAGTGCTATGAACCAAAATCGACGCGCAACAGAATATAATGCTTCAGGAGGGGTGTCTAGGAACTGAGGAGGCGAGGGGAGCCGGGTCGGGAAAATTCTATTCGCAAGGCACTCTTTTCTCAGTATCCCTCCTCCCCGCCTTCCTGTTATCTCACCAGAAAACAGGGCCTTCTAAGCCCACACCTTGAAGGAACTCGCAATGAACTCTTTATGTAACGAATAGCCTAAATGCAAAAATGAACACTTGTTTAGCAAAACACCCAGAAATCATAATTACTGCTATTATTATTTTACAAATGTCGTGTGTTCAGCTACCTAGCTCCTGTCAGATGGATGGATATCTGAGTTGTCATCTGTCGCTATTCAAGTACGTCTGGGTGTCGGC